TGTTACTGCTATGGTTGGAGCTGGCGTTCTCAGTCTTCCTTATGCCATGGCAGAGCTTGGATGGTACAATACTCTCTTTTTATCTTTTTTAACATTTAAAAGTTACCAACATTGCTTGACGATATCAACATTGGATTTAAGTTATATACACTGACAGTACTGTAATTTCAGGGGACCTGGTGTAACAGTGATGGTAGTATCTTGGATTATTACTTTGTACACACTATGGCAAATGGTTGAGATGCACGAAATGGTTCCGGGGAAACGTTTCGATAGATATCATGAATTGGGACAACATGCTTTTGGAGAAAAACTTGGCCTATGGATTGTTGTGCCACAACAATTAATTGTTGAAGTTGGTGTTGACATTGTTTATATGGTAACCGGAGGAAGATCACTAATGAAGGTCCACGAATTGGTTTGCACAAAAAACGAAGACAATATCCATTGCACCAAAGATATTAAACTTTCCTACTTCATCATGATCTTTGCCTCTGTTCATTTTGTGCTCTCCCATCTTCCCAATTTCAATTCCATATCTGGTGTCTCTTTGGCAGCTGCAGTAATGTCCCTAAGGTATAGAAATTTATCTTTAGCTTACTGTTTCTTCTTCTTCTTTTTTTCATTAACATTTCAATCATGTATAAGATAGGTATAATATGTGTATAACCATGTATGATCAATGTATATTTTATGTATATTGGGTAGGAAAAATAAACGGTGAACCCACTGACCTCCTCTAGAATAAGATTCGACTAAACCAAATAGGCAGTGGGGAATCCAGAAATTTTTTCCAAGGTTGTTCAGACTTTAAAGAAGTAAAAAAAAAAATCCCAGCAAAGGGTGTCAATATATGTTTTATACATCTAAAAATTAATATTTTACTTATATACATAGTGTAATTTTTCATAATATTTCGACGAAGGGTGATCATTAGCAAAAGGTGGCTTCGCCCCTGCCAATAGACAAAAGGCCCTACATAAAAGCTACTAAAATAAGTTAGAAATTCGCTTATTTGTTCACTTCTTTAAATGTTGATACTTTTATTAACGTGTTTTTTTTTGTGTCGGACGATGAAGTTATTCTACAATTGCTTGGGGGGCATCAGTAAAGAAGGGTGTACAACCGGATGTAGATTACGGGTACAAGGCTCACAGCACGTCAGGAACTGTTTTCAACTTTCTGAGTGGATTGGGAGAAGTGGCTTTTGCATATGCGGGTCATAACGTGGTTTTGGAGATTCAAGCTACGATCCCTTCAACACCTGAGAAACCTTCGAAAATACCTATGTGGAGAGGAGTTGTTGTTGCTTACATAGTTGTGGCTCTCTGTTACTTCCCTGTTGCTTTTATTGGCTATTGGATGTTTGGGAATTCTGTAGAAGACAACATTCTCGTGTCTTTGAACAAACCTACATGGCTAATTGCCATGGCTAACATGTTTGTCGTCGTTCACGTTATTGGGAGCTATCAGGTATGATCAATGTTCTGATCTGAGTCGGAAAGTTTCAGTTATGTTTAGTTGCACGAGTACACCTTTACCTAACAAAATGTTTTTGTTTATCTTATGATGTTGTAGATCTATGCAATGCCAGTGTTTGACATGCTCGAGACTGTGCTTGTTAAGAAACTTAGGTTCAGCCCTACTTGGTACCTGCGATTTGTTACCAGAAACATTTATGTTGGTATGTTACTTGCCTTCATTTACTATAAAAATTTTAAGTACTTAGAACTTATATTAATGCCTTTGGACTTATTGCAGCTTTCACAATGTTTGTTGGAATCACCTTCCCTTTCTTCGGGGGGCTTCTTGGATTTTTTGGAGGATTTGCTTTTGCACCAACAACATATTTTGTACGTAATTTACAAAAGATTTTTTCCAATCTCTTTGTAGTGTAGATTTCAGATGTCTTATTGGGAAACTTTGTTTTTTGTTTCTTCAGCTCCCTTGCATTATGTGGCTTGCAATCTACAAGCCAAGGAGATGGAGTCTCTCTTGGATTGCTAATTGGGTATGGTGCAACTTAATTAATCTGCCGTTGGTAGTTTCAATTTTGTGATTTTGCCTTTTATACACTTGAAAATGACAATTACTATGTTCTTTTTATGACAGATTTGCATAATTTTTGGAGTTTTATTGATGGTTTTAGCACCAATTGGTGGTTTGAGATCCATCATAGTACAAGCCAAGACCTACAAATTTTACAATTAGGCATCTCCTTCTTGGTAAGGAGAAGTTTGTATCATTATTCAAGTCCAAGAAAATGGCGACGATTATGCCAAACGAGAGGAAACTGATTAAATTTCTTATATAGAAGTGGAGTATGTTTTATTATCGGAAAGAAATTTCTGGCTAGATACTGCGTTGGTGTGTTTTGGCTTAAACCTTTTACAGTATAGGTTTTCTTCATGTGTAAAGTTATGGTTAATATCATATTGATATCGAAATCATTGTCAAATGGCATCTTAGGGTGTCTCAATTTCTCTCTTTCTTTCTAATAAATCATCTAAGATATCGTAGGCATTCTAGACTTTGGATTCAATCTTTAGTCTTTTAAGCCAAGATTTACCAATTAAGTTCGTCTAGCATCCCTTGTAGGAAGACTTTTGTGCGAATAATCCAATCTCTACTGAGTTAATTCAATCTCTACGAAGGTAATCCAAATCTCTATTCTAGTAATTCGATATGTACTTTAGTATTTTATCGTTCTCAACGATTCTTGGTATTACACTCATCCAATGTGGTATCACCTCAATCTCAAAACTAGTTACATGGAAATCTGATTGTTCCTTTCCTCCTCCATTCTGCTATAACATACTCAACAAGTCAAAAAATTCAACTAATGGATGCTGCGTGTCTTTCTTGATTAATAAATGTCAAGAATACAAGAACTTAGACTTCAAGCCCATTCCCCTACGTAAGAAACAGAAACCAGGGACGGTAGGAGACTCTTAAGATGAACTTGTCAACACCAAATCTATATCAAGTTAAAGATATCCAAGTAAGTTGATTGAAGTGGTCAAAGGATCCTGCCGGTAAAAACTTACCTGCACTACAACAATTTATGCTAATCTACTATAGTAAGTGTTAAATTAAGGTGAAAATGTATATGAATTAACTTTGATTTATTGATAATAATAATAATAATTGTGAAAATATGTGTCAAGTATTTATTAGATTAATGTAAACCCTAAGTGTAAATAAATTTTTATCATGCTTCAACCTTAGATCCTATGTCTAAGAAAGCAGTACACATAAACAAGCAGTCCTAATTCACAAAGAAAACAGGGGACATCAACATGCTTTGTATATTTGTATATCATTTATCAAAGTAACGTTTAATTTATATACGCGGTGATTTTTTATATACACATTATGATTTTTCGGTGAAATGTGTTCAACTGACAACCATTCCATGTACGTGGCTACGCCACTGAATACAGCTTACATTCTCCATTTGTGTAAATGCGTGGGCTTTCATTTATTTACTTGTCCACATTAACATGCATTTTCATGATTTGTTGATTCTTAAGTTCAATTATTTAATTAGGTGTAAACACACATGTGGATAAAAAAATATCTATATCATGTCCATCAAATAACATATTTTTGGGATCTTTACACGAATAGCCCACTATTTACTTTTTTCAGTCAGTAATCCTAGATTATACATGGAGTATATATAGTTATACACATATTATACATATATTTTATTACTTTAAGCAGTCTGGTGGACGGCTATTATACATATAATTGTGATCCTTACATAAATAATCGGCTGAATTTACTATTTACTTTTTCTACTCAATATTCGTAAATTGTACACTGTTATACACCGTTATAGTACACATGCATAAGTCAACAAATAAGTGACCAAAGGTGAAAAAAGGCACCATTGAAACCTAATGAGTACACAACAAGTCAACATTAAAAATAAAAACTGAAGGGCTTATGTGTCAATTAGCACCCAAAATTAGCCATTACAAACTACTTAGACAATTGGAAAATTTTAACATATAAAATTTTTTCTCTATCTCCTGTTACATAATTCAGCCACTTGATTCTTTTTCCTTTTTTACCACTTTTTAATTGATCCTAATTCCTAAACATAAATGTAGATATGAATACTGAACATGCTTTCAGTTTAATTTTTTTGTTGCAAGAATTTCTCCAAGTACATAGAATAAAATTTAAACGGTGTGAAAATTTGAAATGCTTAAAGTAACTTTCTTTATAGAGCCACAGATTAATTGATACTTTTCCTAACCTATAATGATCAATAAACTAAAATATTGCATTTGTACATCAAAAATCGTATCGAAAAGGGCCAAAACTGTCTCTAACCTATTCGCTTTGGTTTAAAATACTCCTCGTCCAACTATTTTGTAAAAAATGCCCCTAACGTAAACTTTCTGACCCGGTCATACCCTGTAAACTAATAGCCCTAATTTGATTAAGAAAAAGTTTTATTACTTATTATATGTCAATTTTCTATTAGCTTAAATGAAAACCCACCCCACATCCACTTATTAGCCCACCCCATGACCCAAAATATCTATACCCGACCCATGACCCACTTTTTAAAAGAGTGAAGTTCATTTGTAGCCACTAGGGCCAAACTTATATCACCTAATAGCCACAAAATAGCCCTTTACTAGTCATAGCCTAAAAATAATAATAAAGGCTAGCAAGTGAAAAAGCTGAAACCATACGCTCAACTCAAACGAAAAGGAAAGCATTCCTAATTGATTTTGTTACCTAAATTCACGCGTTCAGTATGGGATCTTCAATCTCCAAACACTATAAAAGTCTCCCAATTATTCACATTGTCAAAAAAATTCTAGGGTTTCTGAAGATTAAACCCAGAGAAGAGCTTCAAAAAATTCACGGTGAAATTCAAAGTTTTTGCTCAATTGCTGCCTACAATCAGCTTAATAGAGTTGAGATTTTGATCTTAAATTGTGAAATTAATACAAAATCGACAAACTCAACTAATGTCTATGGAGATTGTGAATGTTGGAACTACTGTTCTAATTTTGATTTTGATTTTACTTCAACACAGTGGTGAATGGATAAGTGAAAGTAAATTTATTAATTTCCTTTTTAATGGCGTGCTGATCAATTCAGGATATAGCTATGAGTATTTTATTGATGAGATATACAAGCAATTGGATATAGATTCAATTACAAGTGCGATGGAGATAAAATATAAAGTGAAGGATGGCTATATAGCAATTTCAATATACAATGATATGGGTGTGCGCTTGTATATGGAGATGAAAAAGAAAAACCTGGATATCACTGAATATCCATTATGCATAACGTTGAAAACTTTGTATTTAAGTGCTAAATGCTCATATTCAAGTTCATACTTGGGTGGCAACTTACTCGTAACAACTCCAGCTGGTTTACTATGTCAGAACGTAGAAGAAGTACACGGAACTAATATTGTTGAGATGATGGATAATCATGGAAAAGAAGACAAATTTGAAATAATGAAGGGAAATTGTATAATAGACAATCTACAACATGAAGAAATTGCAGAAGGTCAGTTATATTGGGACAAAGATACACTTATTAGTGTAATGAAGCATACGCAATACGAGAAAAATGTCAATTTATATTGGATAGATCATCTACAACAAGGTATGATTTCTACGTATGAGATTGAACTTCTCTGTAATTGTGTGTATACTGCTTGTATTATTGTATAATGAGATTGCATATACATACTGCTTGTTTATTAGAGACACAAGTGTAAAAATCTGAAGAAGTGCATTATCATAACACTATATATTAAATAGGTATTGTCTTAAATGCGTGGATAAAAGTTGCAAATGGAGTCTTAGATCGTCAAGTCTACACAAATCAAATTTTTTCAAGGTTAGACGGTTCAATGATGTTCACACTTGCCCAGAGATGAGTAGACTGTTTTTACAACGTCATGCTACTTCGTCAGCCATTGCAAAAATGATTTGTAACAAATATGCCAATGCAAAAATAATATACACTCCGTCAGACATCATGAGCGACATGAAACAATAGTATGGGATTAATATGAGTTACGTAAAAGCTTATAGAACAAAGGAAAAGGCGTTTGAACTGCTAAGAGGGATACCACGCGAATCTTATAGTAAACTGTCGGGTCACTTGTATATGATAAATATGACAAATCCTGGTTCTGTCACAATATTACATAAATCAGAGAACGGGCGCTTCATGTATATTTTTGTCGCACTAAATGCATCAATCATAGGATGAAAATACTGCTACCCTATTGTAGTGGTTGACGGGACATTCCTCAAATCATCACACAGGGGAACAATGTTAACAGCTAGCGCACAAAATGCGGCAGGTGAATATGTCGCAGACTAATATAATAATTATATATGGTATAGATAGCTCTTATCCGTATATAACAAAAATAACATGTGGATGCTTTCTTATTTGCCTAACCAGGTAAAATTTTTCCATTAGCATATGCTGTTGTCGATTCTGAAAATGATACTTCCTGGGAATGGTTTTTTGAAATGTTTAGACAGGCTTTTGGGGAAAGAGAAAGCATGTGCATCGTATCCGTTCATCATGCAAGCATATTGAGGGGTGCTTCAATTGTGTATCCAGAGGTATCTCACTGTGTATGCATCTTTCATCTTTGGAATAACATAAAGAAGCAGTTCAAGAAGAACCATGACCGGCTGAGAGAAGTTTTTTTTTTTGCAATGGCCAGAGCATACAAAATTGAAGATTTTAATCACCTCATGCAAGATATGGACAGCATTGATAAGAGGGTAAGGGGTTACCTGTTCCAAGTTGGTTTTGAAAAATGGTCCATAGCGCATTCCACTGTTAATAGATCCATGGCGATGACTTCAAATATTATCGAGTCACTCAATGCAAGAAACAGAGAGGCAAGAGAGCTACCAATCATGAGTTTGCTAGATTACATGATGAATTTGGTTATGGAATGGAATAATACAAATAGAATGACTGTAATGAGTACATTTACTGGCCTAGAAAAAAAATATAACGAAGTACTGAAGGAAAATAACTATTTGTCGCAGAAGATGACGGTAAATATTCTTTTATCATATCTTACTTCATACATTAATACTTGTCATATCCCTATTTTACTAATGATGTTTATTTAAATTTAGGTGAGGCCTTCAACCGATTATGTATATGTAGTAATAGATGCTGAACAAAGGCGGAACATAGTATGCTTGCAAAAAAGAGAATGCTCGTGTAAACAATTTCAAGTGGATGAGATTCCTTGTCCATATGCTATGGCAGTATTGGACTATACACACATAGAAGCACCCAAATATTGTTCTTCCTATTACACCAACCAATACTTTAAGAAGACATATGAAGTGCCAGTTAATCCACTTCCAGATGAAACTACATGGGACCTTCCAACAGAAGTGTTAGATAATGTGGTGCTACCACCGATAGTAAAGGAAAAATCAGGAAGACCGACGAAGTCGCGACGCAAGGGACTTTATGAATATCTGTATACTGAAACAGTTACCCGTGGACTGTGTGGAAAATAAGAACACAATAGAAGAACATGCAGGAATACTCAAGACAACTAGTAGATGACCATCAATGATTTAGTATTTTGTAACATTTTTCCTTGTGAATATTACAATTAGAATAATAAAAAAATAATGAGATTTGCAATCAGATTCTCTCTGATGTATGAATAAAGATGCTACTTTTTGTCGTAATGAAAGTATTGGTAGAAGTTTTATTCCAAATACTATTATGGATGTCATTATACAAAAACTTATACAAAATAGATAAAAATATACAAAATATATACAAAAAAAAATATCACTTTACAAATAATATACAAAATAGACTGTAACTATATAATTTATATATAATATTTTATTCCTATACAAAAAATAAAAAAATAAATTGTCGCTATACAAAACATATACAAAATAGATGTCACTATACAAAAAAATATACAAAAAAGACTGTCACTATACAAAGAATATACAAAATAGAACTTGTATATTTATACAAAAAAATAATATACAAAATAGACTGTAACTATATAATTTATATATAATATTTTATTCATATACAAAAAATAAAAAAATAAACTGTCGCTATACAAAACATATACAAAATAAATGTCACTATACAAAAAATATACAAAAACGATTGTCACTATACAAAAAAATATACAAAATAGAACTTGTATATTTATACAAAAAAATAAAAAATAGATCGTCACTATTGTATATACAATTTACATACAATAGACTGTGACTATACAAAAAATATACATAATAGATATCACTATACAAAAAATATACAAAAATAGATGTCACTATACAAAATAGATGTCACTATACAAAACATATACAAAAGGACTGTTACTATACAAAATTATACAAAATAGACTGTCGCTATACAATTTATATACAGTTTAGCTGCCCCCCAAACTTCATTCATAAAACTTCCTATAACAACTTAGCAACACCAGCTAAATTTGCAAAACCTATCGAAATAAATTATCTGTATAAATTACAAAACTAAAATTGTAGAAAAGTCAAAACTACACAAAATCTTAAACTTACATAATTTCACTATTAACTGAAAACAAACAAGTCGCAATTAAAAGTAATATTCAACATTAGCATTTCAAACATATTGTTCAAAAATATTCCAAATAAAAAGCATAAAACGTGATATAAGTATGCAACTGTATCCAATCATAAGACAATATCATAACCAAACTACTTCGTCTTAAAACTACATGTGAATTTTCTGCTAAACTATCCCAAACTACTTTTTCTTGCCCTTCAACTTGCCCTTTTTCTTGATATCCTTCAAAGTCTCGTCATCACCAACGGCACGCGTCTTGCCCTTTCTCTTGTTATCTTTCAAAGCCTTGTCATCAACAACGGAATGCGACTTGACCNCGCGTCTTGCCCTTTTTCTTGTTATCTTTCAAAGCCTTGTCATCAACAACGGAATGCGACTTGACCTTTTTCTTGTTATCCTTCAAATCCTTGTCATCAACAACGGAATGCGACTTGCCCTTTTTCTTGTTATCCTTTTTGGCCAGACCCTTCAATCTATCCGTATCCCATCAATATCAATAGCTTCAGGAATACTGCTGCCTTGAATGATGTACTCAGCAAATGCAGCAACATAAACACTACAGTCACTACATACAAGGTCGCACATAAACGAATAAGTTAGTATAATATCCAAATAGGAATTCATGTACAAAAAAATGAATAATAAACAGAAATATTCAATAATAATTTACGTGTTATCTTGCGTTGGCAACCCATCAATGACATGAATCTCAAACGGATCTATGGTGGGGATTCCCATAGGATTCTCCTTTGTGTCCCAAAAACCAATACGATGAATGAAATATGGGAGCAACATTGAGTATGGATCAATTAATCTCCGAACTGTAATATTCTGCAGCGCGCCACTCATAGAATCGTATATATAAATGCGCAGATCTTTGAATGACAGTCTCGCCAATANGACAATCTCGCCAATATCCAGTGCCACTTATCAGACAGATTTATAGGGAAAATGACTTCATCAACAGTACACCAAGGAATATTACATCTTAAAAAATACCCAAGTATATATTCAACAATTGGATCTGTTTCAGTAATCAAATTCATGTCTCTCTTTTTCTCCAAAAACCTCTTGTACAAATTCGAAATCAAGCAGTTAAACCAACAGTCGGTAGTTGTGAATGTAACTGGAGCATCAACACCGTACTTCTCTTTCTTTCTCAAATAGTAAAAAATAACATCAATATGCTGAAATATGAAGAATAAACACACATTGTCAGAAAATTACAGTATGAGAAAACTAAAATGTATATTTTATATATAAACCGATTATACATTTTATAGAAGATACTGCAAATATACATAAAAAGATACTCTTCCAAGTTGATACTATATTTTTTATTGCCATTATTGTTCTAGTCCTTTCTTCCGCCTACTATCCATGGGTTACCAAGTCCCATTTCTCATTTTATTATAGATATAATCTATATGTAATTACAATATAGATAAAAGAAAAAGAAATGTCATTTATGCTAACAAATTAACATCAATATGCTGAAAATATGAAGAACCATTATAACGTTGACTTACTGAATCACACAAGGGTAGGCCGGGATATGCAAATGTGAAGAATTATTTTTTTTCTCCAATATCATCAACTCCAAATTCAAAGATTTTATTTAGCTTATTGCTAATCTCTGTATAAACACCGTCCCTGATGAATCAGGATAAAAAGATATGGTTCATAACACGAAACACGAAAAATAAACAAGAAAAAAAAAAGAAAAAAAAATTGAAACATAAAACTTACGGTGCATTAGTCCTTAAGTCTCTATCGATGAAAGTGTTCCACTTATACAATATTCTAAAATCAACAGGATTGTCAACATTTCCCTGAAAAGGATACTTTATAGTGAAGATGGACTTATTTGTCAAGATGGGCTTCTTTGACTTAGTCGGCTTATCTTGAGCAACTTAGATGGTGCCACCAGAGTCAAATTTGTCATGAATGGTGACTTCATGACCCCTGCTGGTTTCCTTTCTCTAGGGATCATTTCATGTGTGTCATGATCAACAACAACTATACGATCTTCCTGCATAGTAGCAATATTTGTATCCACTCCTAAACAATCACCATGTACAATATTTTTATTGAAATACTTTTGGGTGATTGCAGTTATTTGAGCCTCAGCATCACTAGTCCAACCATTGTCCTCACCAACTTTCTCACAACTGTTTTTACTAACAACTTGTACAGAATCCTCCACCAACAACTTGTCACAAAACTTATGGGTAATTGCAGTGATTTTAGGCTCGGCATCCTCAATCAAGACTTCGTCATCATCAACTCCGTCACTACTTTTACCAGCTTCTATAGAATCCTTCACCACACCCTCCATAACAACAACAGTTTGCTTTAGACTTACCTCAGTGTCAATATTTTTCTTTACAACTTCCTCACTGCCATTATTTCTCTCCATAACTTCCTCACTACCAAAATTATTCTTTGCAACTTCCTTATCGCCTGAATAATCTTTATGAATATCACCAGTATCATAATGGCCATGACTATCATGATGGTCGTCCTCTTTTCTATTACCCTGTTCAAAAATAAATATAAAAAGTTGTAAAAATTATAGTAACAGGTAAAAATAACAAATATGCATAGTCATGAGAATAACTTTGAAGCATCACGTTCACCTAGAGCTTTAAAAACTTTTTCAAATGAGGTAATCATTAACTGCTCCAAAGATAAAATCTTGTCGTTTACCTATAAAAGAAAAAGTGAAATCGAATATCAATTAAGTTGTCAGAACTGCTCAAAGTCAAAATAGAACTGTACCGTGTTGATTTCACTTCTCAGAAGTTTCAGCTCATTCTCGCTTGAACTCAAGTTACTAGGTTGTGGATCCATATTCTCATTGTTAATAGGTTGTGATTCCAGCTTATTTTTGGGGTGCTTCTTAGCATTTTTTTTAGGTTGAGTATTGAAATCATCAACATCATCTCTTGGATTAACTTCAGCATTTTGATCTTCATACACAGGGACAAAATCATACAATTCAAGCCTTGTTTGTTCGGCATTTGTTGGGGCAATATTATCAAACACCAACTACAAATAAAAAAAAACTTAGCAATCATGAAATTTTTAAAAAATAAAAGACAAGCAATATATTACTTGTAGAAACTACACATCATACAGTTAATTGATATTATGTATTAGAAATATATAATTTATGTATCAGAAATGCATAATTTATGTATCAAAAGTAGATTCATATGTATTGCTACAAAATATTGTAAACTAAACAAAAATATTTTTTACCTGCTCTTGACTTAAAAGAAAAAATTCTTTCCTCAACCTCTTGAAGGTCACCTTCTTCTTTACAGTCCAGTTTAGTATGCGTGGCACAAGATCTCCAATCCGGTAAGCGAGATTTTTGTGAGTATAGAGGCAGCATTCATAAAACCAACACTGGAATGCCAAAGGCAAACCACCATATCGGTACATCTCTCTCCTGCTACGAACCTTATCCTTCATTGACTCCAACGTAGCATTAAAAACCACTTTTTTCCAAGGGAAAGTCTCAAAATCACTAGAATCAACCAACAGAAAATTATTCTTTGTTATCAAATCATCATTCGTAATAGAAAATAGAAAACTGTGAATGAAATATAATACTACAATCTTTAATGTATCCTCATCAGATTTCCACATATTTTTTAAGAAACAGTCACTTAACAATTTCTTAGACACTTTCGACATTCTTGGAAAGTACAATTCCATCAACCGACTCGACTTGACAAATTCATAATCCTTATTGGGATCACCATTATACTTTAAACCTGTGATAATACAAAACTCTGCAAGTCCAAAGCGCAACTTGATGCTATTCACTTTAATCCATAACTCATCATCTTTAGGTGACACCACTTCCCTAAGCAATAGTGAATGGATAAGTTGGTTCTGTATCAAAAATTCGGGCAAGTTCACAAAATAACCAAAACATGTTCTTCTAAACATCTCAATCTGTTGATCATCCAAAGTATCTTTCAAATGTTTCACTATACTGCAGTTTGTATGCACACTGATACGAGTACTATAATGATCACCCAAAGGAACATAGTAATCCCAAATCTGCAGACAACACAAAAATATAAATATATATAAGCTTCATAACAATCACAAATACGCACTTTAAACATTACTTATACACTATGTGGATAGATGATACACTTTATATACAAATTGCACATTACTTATTGACTTGATACAAATTATATGCAATATAAAAAAGAATGATACATTTTATATTCAAATCTGGAATATAACTACTATATTGGATAAATTTTCTACATACTAAAATAAACTAAGCGCACACAAGTCAGAGTTATATCAGTAGAAAATACCTTCAAATCAGATGAGCTAGAACATTTTTGATCAACATGAACTTTTCTCTTTTTTGATGGAACATCATCCCCATCTGTTTTAGCCTTCCTTTTAGAACCTTTACTCTTTTATCCTTCACAACATCCTTTCCCACCATTTTGATCTTTCTTTTTGAACTTGTGCCTTTTTCAACAACTACTCGTTGAGCAATTTGTGACCTCGTTACTCAATCGCTGGGAGTCCCGCTATGTGAATGAGTCCTTCTATCAATAGGGGTTCGTTGCATTCCTTCAATAGGGGTATTTTGCCTTGCTTCACAGATTGAGGGATTGCATGCCCCAAATCGCACCCAAACTCTGGTAAATCTTCAAAATCGTCATCATCATTCCTAATAAAACTAGGGTTATATTTTACTAATTTATCAGGCTCTGCACTAACATCCCTCACAAAAGCCAAATAAGATAGGCAACCCTTCTCAACCATGCGCTGAGCCTTCAAATATGAAATCACCCTACGTGGTACATAATCTACAGAACCGCTCCACTCAACCCTCGAAATTCCCGGCATAGCCAACGTCACCGTCTTAGCGTGACAATCTAGAACAACATGACATGGAGATAACCAATCCATACCCAATATCACATCAAAGTCAACCATATTGAGCAACAATAGATCTACTCGGTCTCCAGACCCCCAATAGTCACCACACATGACCGATATATGCGGTCCACAATAATAGTATTGCCCACAGGAGTAGATACATGTATAGATGAAACTAAGGACTCACGGGGCATATCCAGAAAATGGGCGAAATACGAGGAAACATATGAATACGTGGAACCAGGGTCAAATAATACTGAGGCATCTATGTGGAAAATTGAGACAATACCTGTAATCACAGCATCTGAAGCAATAGCATCTAGTCTGGCAGAGAGAGCATAGAAACGGGCCTAACCACCCCCTGATCTGCCTCCCCCTCTAGGGCGACCCCTAGCAGACTGACCTCCACCCCGAGCTGACTGGGCGGGTGGTGAGGTAGCTGGTGCTGTAGTTGGAGGCTGACTCCTCTACTGAGATAGACCTCCATGACGACGAGGACACTGCCTCCACATATGCCCAAGATCCCCACACTCAAAGCAACTCCCTGGTGCTAGCGGCGGAAACTGAAGGGAACCCCTAGCACCGGGATGACTGGTAAAAGAACCTGGCATGGAAAAGCCCTGAACAGGTGGAGCACGGGACGAACTCTGAACTGTNACCTCATGATCCTCTCTCTGTCCGTGGGAACCAACCAGATAGCATGATGGGCCAACTCGGAGAATCGCATCTCATACTGCATCACTGACATATCACCCTGGCGAAGCTGCTCAAACTGTCTACGCAGCTCCTCTCTGCGGGATCGAGGCACGAACTTTGCCAAAAAAACCACAAAGAACTGCTGCCAAGTAAGGGGTGTTACGCCAACAGGCCTACGCCTCTCGTAAGTCTCCCACCATCTGAGTATAGCCCCAGAAAACTGAAAGGTAGTGAATGAGACCCCACAAGTCTCCAAAATACCAGCAGTACGGAGTATTCTCTGACACCTGTCCAAAAAGTCCTGAGCATCCTCTCTCTCTGTGCCACTAAAACGTGGTGGATGAAGTCTCCCAAACCTCTCCAACCTGCGCTGATCATCCTCAGGCATAGCAGGAACCACATAATCCTAAGCAACAGCAATCGGCTGGGCTGGTGGTGCCTCTGGTGTCTGAAGTCCCTGAATAATCTGCTCGGGTGTGCGAGCGACGAGAGTCTAAGTGCCTCCCCATGGCCTGAGAAGTGGCTGCGGCCGTCGAAATAGAGACCGCCTGAGCAAGGCCAGTACACGCTGTCAAAATCTGAGCTAGGACCTCCTAAAGGCCTGGAATCACAATAGGCACAGGTGGTATCTGAGTTGGTGCATCGACAACTGGAACTTGGTCCTGATCTGGGACAACAGGTGGATTTGTAGGTACTGCCCCAACTGTTGTACGGGCTGCACCTATGCCCCTACCACGGCCTCAGCCTCTCGCGGCCCTGGCTAGTGGTACTGGTAGCTGACCCTCCTGATCAGTAGCACGAGTCCTCACCATCTGTGAGAGAATGAAACAACGGATGTTTAGTTACTAGAAATAACAGATTCACACGACAAGAATTCAAGAATGTGGAGTTTCCTAAAGGTTCTGCAGTCTCCTGAAGATAAGTACAAACGTCTTTGTACCTATCCCAAGACTCTACTAAACCCGCTCATGACTCGTGAGACCTATGTAACCTATGCTCTGATACCAATCTGTCACGACCCAAACTAACCTCTGTCATGATGGCGCCTATCGTGAAACTAGGCAAGCTGACACATTTCCAAAACAAACCGATATTTTCATTTCAAAGATAATTTCAAGGTTATTTAACATAAAACCTCCATTTAAAGAGTTCAAATCAAAGAAAAACAGAAGTGCGAAAAAGAAAAGCCCGACATCGGGGTGTCACTAGTCATGAGCATATACTACAATCTGTCTAACAATATCAAGGCTAACTCAGCCTGAAAAATAGCTAAGTACAACTAGAGGAAGATAAGAGGGAGAAGAGTAGGGAGTTGCGATCGCCAAACAACTACCTTGTTATCTCCAAGAAAATCTACAACCAGAACACTCAATAACCGCTACCGTATCCAGCTACACCTGAATCTGCACGGAAGGTGCAGGGAGTAACGTGAGTACCACATGCTCTTAAAAATCACTAAAATCTCAATAAAATACCACATGTTCTTAAAAATCACTAAGTAACAATAATAAATAAAGACTGAGCAGTAGTGACGAGCAATAAAGCATATAACGTTCATATCAGGAAATCTCAGTAAAATACTACATGCTCTTAAAAATCAGGATTTGAATCAAATATCTCGTTTAAACCTAGTTCCAGTAAAAAAAATAATTTAAAGACATTTTTCCAATAATTTTTCAAACAAAGGCTCAATGCAAAGGTGAGCAAAATGATGAAATCATAAACAGCCCCTCGGGCAAAACATCACTCATATACAGCCCCTCGGGCAAACCTCACAATCACTCGTGCCACTTGGGCATACCTCACAATTACTCTTGCCACACGGGCATACATAACAATAACTCTTTCCTCCCAGTCACTCAGCACTCGGTACTCGGCACTCACACTTAGTAGGTACCTGCGCTCACTGGGGGTGTGTACAGACTCCGGAGGGACTCCTTCAGCCC